TAGTCTGAAATTTTAAAAATTAGTACGCTTGGCTAATAAAGAATGAAATTTGTTAGTTATCTTGCAATAACTAATCAAATTATCTTGCATTATGAAGCACGATTCTTATTGAGGCAGCAGCAGCACCAGATCCGCGTTCTCACCTTGCTCATGGTGCCCTTGGAAGTTGGATGAGGCGTGGTACTGTATATCACCTCAGCGTTCTGAGAGCTGAAGCTGGGGGAATCTCTCGAGCAAGTGGGATCTCCATAATGTCAGTCCTAAATACTAGCGTTTCTCTATTTATAAGAGTTAATTGACTAATTTAAAAAAATTAAAAAATAAGTTAAGTTAGTTATTTATAATAAGTAAGTATTATTTTTTTTAAAATATTTTTACTAATCAAGTATATTCGCTGTAACTATTATTATTAGAATAACTATTTTGAAAAAATATATATAAATATAAAAAATAAAATGAATTAAAATTTTATATTTAAAATAAAAATAAAAATAAAATAAAATCTTACGTTAGAGTTACTGGCCGGTGAATAAACCACTCTTGGTCGAGCCTTTACCTCCCTCACCAAACCGTCAAATGGCAACGTTTGAAAACAAGGGGGGAGCAGAGAGCAGCGGGGACGGGTCAATTCCCATTAGGGCTTCTTCCCTACCGTCGCGACATCCATGGATCTGCCGTTGTCCTCTCCTGCCAAATGCAGCTTGAAGCGCAAGCGCAAACAAGAATTCTCGGTAGATTTTTTGGGCGACGTTGTGACGCAAGTCAGTATTCTCAACTCCAGTTTATCATCGTCCCAGTCGGATCGCCTTGCGGCCAAGCGTGCTGTTGATGTTCTCTTTGCAGTCGGACATAATGGTAACCGCTTGAGCCTTTTATTATACGTACTCGTACTTCTACTCATGCCAATTAAACAGTTTGCTTTTTTAATTTTCTTGTGTGCCTGGAGTGAGTCGGCGTGCTTAACCGCGGAAATTGAAATCATCCCGTGCTGCCAACTTTATTTTTTGGATGTGAGGATGTTTATTACATGCGTTGTTTTTTGTTTTTGGTTCTGGTGCTTGCTCCTTAATGCATCATTTTAATGTTTATCTCTTTCTCACAGAGGCAATTCTGAATAGTATGGTGGATTGCGGAGCTGTTCCTGCTTTGTTAAAATATCTGGAAGCACCTGAACCAGTTAGAGAAGGTGATGGTGTTCCCAAGCCTTACGAGCATGAGGTGGAAAAGGGGTGTCTATTGGTCCTTGAGAGTCTTGCTTTTAAAGTAATTCAGCACTGCAGCCTTGCTCTCTAGCTCACTCTCCCCCCCCCCCCCCCCTCAAAAAAAAAAACACAAGGCTTAAAATTCTAAATTGTGCGAAACTCTAAAGCGTCTCCCCCCCACCAAAAAAAAAACGCTTCAGCATCTAAATTGTATGAAACTCTAAAGCGTCGTGTGTGAAGCCTTCAAAATGTCTTTTAACTCATAATTGATTTCTTTTGAACTTCGCGCAGCCGGAGCATCAACAACTCATTGTTGATGCTGGAGCTTTGTCCTATCTTATGGATTTGCTAAAGAGTTACAAGACCTGTGGCAATTCAAGGGCTCTTACTGGCCTTATAAGGAGAGCAGCTTATCTCATCGCAAGCCTTGTGCAGGAAAATGACAGCATTCAAACCCGTGTTAGGTAACTATTCTGTTCTCCGCCGCTTTGAAGCATAGTTTCTATATATGTGTGTGTATTCCCTATCATAGAGGTTGACTGTACCTTCAGGATGGAAGGTGGTATCCCTCCTCTGGTTGAATTGCTTGAATTTGATAATGTAAAGGTACAAAGGGCAGCTGCAGAGGCCTTACGTAGTCTTGCATTTAAAAATGATGAGAACAAAAACCAGGTGGATGACCTTGCATGGCTACTTGGTTTCTCTTGTATATTGTTATGCTGTAGTAGCTTATATGAATCACTAATTGCAGATTGTCAGATGCAATGCACTGCCTACTCTTGTACTAATGCTTGGATCAGAGGATGCTGCCATACGTTTTGAAGCAGTTAGGCCCTAACAGAATTTTTATTAATGCATTCCATTTGCTTAATTTTCCCATGCTATAGTTTTTCTAGAGCCAGCTGAATTAGGAGCTTTGTAGGTTGGCTTGTTAGAAATCTGGTCAACTCTTCTCCACACATAAGGAGGGAAGTTCTTCTAGCTGGTGCTCTCCGACCTATAATCGGATTGCTTAGGTAATGTTATTTGCCCTACAAGCTCTCTTCCTTAATATCTTATAAAATGCATTTCTCAAGCTCAGAATTCCAATGGCAGGTCTGACTGGCCGGAGAGTCAGAGAGAAGCAGCTCTTTTAATTGGAATATTTGCTGGGACAGATTCTGATTGCAAGGTGGATTGAATTATGTGCGTCACAATTAGATAGTAGGGGGAAAAAAAACTTGCACTTGGATGGTTTTATAAATGCTCTTGTTGTGTCCTCCGTGTTTTTCTGCCATAACCAGTAACCACATAAGTTTGTGTTTTATACAGGCTCATATTGCTCAAAGAGGGGCTATCCAGCCACTGATTGACATGCTTAAGTCCCCAGATGAACAGCTTTGGAAAGCATCAGCATTTGCGCTTGGGAGACTGGCCCAGGTGATTGTAATTACGTTTATCAATTTGCTGTATGAGGAGTATGAACATTGATGGCATTAGTGTTTAATACTCATCAGTGGCTAGCCTTGGGCTTTAAAGGGTTTATTCTATTATTGAGTGTGTATTTTCTTATATATATAAAAATATATATGTTTGTATTTGTCACTTCAAGTCTTAATTGATGATATAATCAAGTGCGCAATATAAAATCATGCGTATGACTTATCTCTAGCCAGTTCTTTCATATTCCTTTATTCTTTATATGATGCCTGCTTTAGGACGCACACAATCAAGCTGGTATTGCTTATAATGGAGGTCTAGAGCTTCTACTCAACCTTCTTTGCTCCAAGGATGGACCTCTCCAACGTAATGCAGCCTTTGCTCTGTATGGTTTTGCTGATAATGAGGTGAACTGGTGAAGCCTGTTGCCTTCGTTTTACTGAATCATCACTGCATGTTTCCTTTTCATAATCGTCTAACTTTTCCTTAATAGGAGAATGTTGCGGATATTGTTAAGGTTGGTGGTGTTCAAAAACTACAGGATGGAGATTTCATAGATGGAGTATGTTCATTTATTTTTCAGTAACAGGAAATCAATAGGCTTACATGGAACATTTTCCAGGATGATAATTTCTTGTTTGTCAAGATAGATCGATAGAAATCCTTCTCTTTGGTTTATCAATATGCCTAACAAGTCCTGTGTGGCCTGCAGCCTGCCAAAGAGTATGTAGGAAAGACAATGAAAAGATTAGAGGAGAAAATGCATGGACAAGTGAGCTTTCTTGCAGATTATGGATTTCTTTTGTTTGTTTAAATTATAGATGCACATTCTGTTATGGTGTAGCTATTATTTTTATTTTTATTTTCCAATCTTTGTGCTCAATGATGGGCTCGACTCATGAATTTCATTTTTGAGCAGGTGCTGAAACAGCTGATTTATCTTATGCGTTTTGGAGAAAAGGTTGTTCAAAGACGCGTGGCTTTAGCTCTTGCTCATCTATGTGCCCCGGATGATGGAAAATTTATTTTTGTTGACAACAATGGTAAAAGAAACTGAATCACTTGTGGTCGGGACGTTATTTTATGTTTCCATGCTAAAGTATGTTCAGCTAATGTGCTACTAAATTTTGCAGGACTCAAATCCCTACTGGATCTTCTAGAATCTACAAATATTAAACAGAATCGCGAGGCTTCAATGGCACTTCACTCATTGGCTGTGAGAACCACATCTATCTCTCCCTCTGATGCTACTCCTCCATCCTCGACTTCCCAGGTGAGCTGCTATTCATGTCTCACTTGCTTACCCTAGTCATCTGGTTTGGACCGAAAAAAAATAATAGATATAATTTTCATCTGTTTTTGCTACATAATTTTATAACTTCTTATCAATAAAAGTAAGATACCGGGCGATACTCTTATTTAAATACTCAAGAGGATAGTCATAGCAAATGTTAGATCTAGTCATTGGAAGAGTTTTTTTTTTCCAATTAGTCTTCTAAAGATTTGTTTAAAAATATTTTAGATGTTACATAAATGGCAATCCATTGGCCGTTAACATGGCAATTGACATGGGTTAATACAGATGGCATTTGCTTTCAAAATGATGCTGAGTCAAATTTCATAGAGTGGTTGTAAAAACAAATGCTTTCAAGGAAAAATGTTACTTGAGAAAAAAAGCAGTTGTTTTGGCCCCACCATGTGTTGGCCTACTTTGATTTGTTCATTGATCCTTTGAGTTCATGTAAGGATCATAGACATGATGTAAATTGTTGAGCTCGTAATGAAAATTTGCTCTGCTTGTTTTGCGGAAAAGGACAACGACTCTTAATTAGAAGTCGTTTTGATTGCAAGAAATTTTCGTGACTTGGGGTTTGTCTAAAGAGACCGATTTGAGAAGTGAACAATCCTACAAGGATTATTTTTGTGCACTGTTTTTTCCTTGGTTCGCTCTAGTTTTTAGTTGTTTTTGTTGCAGGTATACTTGGGCGAGCAGTATATAAACAATCCTACATTTTCTGATATCATCTTTTTAGTTGAAGGTGAACATGCTGCTTGTGAATATTTTTCCTTGTGCATAATTAACTTTGAACTATGCACTCATCATTTTCTGTTTCTTTCATTATTAGGTAAAGAGTTCTATGCTCACCGAATTTGTCTACTTGCTTCCTCTGATGCGTTTCGAGCAATGCTTGATGGTTTTTATTGGGTAGGCAGTGATTAATGTTGATAATATGTTTTTATTATTCTTATAATTCGAGAGCCTTAAGTGTCAATAGTCACGTTGACTTTGTTGGAATATGTAAATGCAGGAAAAGGAAGCGAAAGAAATACAGATTCCTAACGTTAAATGGGATGTCTTTGAAGTGATGATGAGGTGTGATTTATGGTCCCTTTCTAGATTTTTCATCTTTTTGTTATTTGCTTTATCTGAGAGATATTGTAGTGTACGACTTTTTCCACTTGGCGGTTCCAGATTTATTTACACGAGAAATGTAGATGTCAACTTGGATATTGCTCAAGATCTCCTAAGAGTCTATGATCAGTATCTTCTGGATGGTCTCAAGCGATCTTGTGAGTGTGCACTTGCTCAGGTAGGGCAAGAATGTGGTTTCTGATTTGATTTTTCCTCTATTTTTCAAATTATTCTATGAACATGTTACAATCCCATGATTCATCATACTGTTCCTAGGATATTTCGGTGGAAAATGTCTCTCTTATCTACGAGTTATCGGAGTCGTTTAATGCTATGGCATTGAGGCATGCATGTATATTCTTTTTGTTGGCTCAATATGACAAACTGAGCGCCGAACCATGGTATGCTTTGTTCAACAACTCGAAGGCTGCATTCTTTGTTGTTTTTCTTAGCCTAGTAAAGCCAACTTGTTTAATCTTTTAAAGTAAATTCATGTGTATTATTTTACCTTGTCTTTGGAATATGTAGGTATAGGTACCTCATCTGTCGCATTGTCCCAGATATACGTGAATTATTCGGAAGTTTACTCACGAAGCCTACTAGCGGAATATTGGATAAGAGTCCTAGTTGAAGTAGAGTCCTAATTTTGCAGGCTGTGCATGGATTTGTGAATCATCGTTAATGTGCCGTTAGTACCGATGTTGAATATTTATATTTATTTTTTCATTCAAACTATTTTGCTGCTCTTATAACTTGGTGTGTGCTCTGATTGTAACATGTGCTATAATTTAATTATTTAGTAACTTTTTGTGTTTCTTCAAATTAGTTAAGAACTGGTAGTATGATATAATTTCATAATCATCAGTGCCCCTTGAGCTGTGCGTTATATTATCCTGGCAAATCTGCAGAGAGCTGACCGTAGCGAAAACGGGGACGGGAACCCCTGCTCGTCGCACTCGTCTTCATTATTATGATTGCCTGTATGTTGAACCTATTATTGCATATTGTAGTGGAACAAGATATGTGGACATGTTGGGCTTCTACGAATCTCACTGGTGGTTTGAATTGTTGCGGCATTTGGAAAAAACGTTTTCTCAATACATGAATTATGATACGGTTTTAAAATTATGGCAAGGAGGGATTTGATTAGAGTATTAGAATAGAATGTCGTCATGGTTATAAAAAATTGAACTGATATAATTATGAAGGGTTCAACTTACAAACAGAACGACGATGACAAAATAAACTGAGTGCAATGATAATAACCGAATACTAGAATAGCAACGAATGAGACTGCAAATGGATATATTCGTATATTAATGATCACCGATGCAGTACACAAATGGAAATATATCAGAATATCTGTGAGCAGTACAGCAGGAAATGCATAAGACGAAAGAAAGGAAAGCACTAGGAGCGAGGAGATCCAGAGAATCTGGCCAGAAGGAATAACAACCCAAATCATGCACGTCCCCCTCTAACGGCTTTTGTCGTATTATATAAGAGCATCCTCTCCTATTTCCCGAAGCTTCCAAGGCCTCTTCTTCATCCGTTGGCTTCTACGAAGACCAATATTCTGGTTTGGGCTTTTATCAGCACTACTCCTTGGATCAGTTTGGCCCATCTGGTGTGGAGTCGTAACATTACCCCGCCCATTAAGAACGACCGTGTCCTCAAGGTCGAGAGATGGATACAACTGTTGTAGTGTGTCTCTCTCTTCCCACGTGGGTGCAGAAGATGCGTCCCATGTAATCAAAAACTGCTGTACTTGGCCATCGCGGGACTGAACCATTCGAGAATCCAGGATTTGCACGGGTTGGGCGATCGGCCCTTCCGGTGTGGTCAACAATGGCAGGGGCATATAAGATTCTTTAGGCTCATCACCGCAAAATTTCTTGAGTAAGGAAACATGAAAAACCGGATGAATTCTGGAATGATCCGGTAGTTGTAATCTATAGGCGACCTTGCCAATTCGACTGATCACTTGAAAAGGCCCGAAATAAACCATAGAGAGTTTATAATATTTGCGAAGTTGGACAGAGTGCTGTCGGTATGGCTGTAACTTCACCAAAACCCAATCACCTACTTCAAATTCCACATCTGAGCGTTTCTGATCAGCAAACCGTTTCATGCGGTGTTGAGCTTTTTGTATGTTTCGTTTCAAGATCGTCAAAACTTCATCCCTCTGTTCTAATTGCTGGTGAACATCTAATGGTGTGTCTTCAACGGAAGAATGTTTCAACAGTGGGGGTGGTTCTCTGCCATACACCACCGTGAACGGGACCATGCCAATGGAAGTCTGAAACGATGTATTATACCAGAACTCGGCCCAAGGTAAGAACTCGATCCATTTTCGAGGGAATTCATGCGCCATGCACCGCAAATACATTTCCAGGCATTTATTAACAGCCTCAGTTTGACCGTCTGACTGAGGATGATATGCCGAGCTCATACACAATGAAGTCCCCTGCAATTTCATAAGGTGTTTCCAAAAGCTACTGGTAAAAATTCGATCCCGATCAGAAACTATTGTTTTTGGTAAGCCATGGAGTTTGACCACATGCTGTAAAAAAGCTTCCGCCACTTGCTGAGTGTTAAAATTGATTGGCAAAGCAATAAAGTGGCTGTACTTTGACAACCGATCAACCACCACAAATATATTAGCATATCCTTTCACTGGCGGTAGGTTTGTAATGAAGTCGACTGAAATATCATCCCAAATTCGTTCTGGAATGGGCAGAGGATTAAGTAAACCAGCAGGGTGGAGTTGACTAGTTTTGGCTTTCTGACATACAGTGCAACATTTGACATAGTTTCTGATTTCTCTTCGCATTTGTGGCCAATAAAATAATCGAGCAATGCGGTGAAAAGTCCGAAGGTATCCTGCATGACCTCCCATGGCAGATGAATGGAACTCCTCTAATATCTGTTTTATGAGTTCATGGTCATCATGGGGTAACACTAAACGATTTTTCCAATACAACTCGCCTTGCCTCACCCGAAAGTGACCCATAGTTCCTGGAGAATTTAGAACACGGTCTTTTTCAGCTTGAATCACCGATGATGTGCGTACCCGATCATAAACCAAACTCATAAGAGAGTTCTCAAGTGTAGTCAATGTCCAACAAGTCGCTCGAGAGAGAGCATTCGCAGCTTGATTAGAGCTTCCTGGTTTATATTCGATGCTGAACTGATACCCGAGCAATTTTGGAAGACATGCTTCTTGTTCAGGGGTTTGGATGGTTTGGGATTGCAAATGTTTTAAGCTTGCATGATCTGTCCGAATAATGAACGGATGACCGATTAGGTAGTGTCGAAACTTTGCGACAGACTCCGTTATTGCGTGCAACTCCCTAACATAAGCTGATTGTGATTGCATTCGAGCTGAGAGCTTCTTAGAAAAGAAAGCAATCGGGTGATTGTCTTGACTCAGCACCGCACCAATGCCCACCCCTGAGGCATCAGTCTCCAAAATGAAAGGCTTAGCAAAATTAGGCAAAGCCAGAACAGGGGCATGAGTTAGAGCCTCCTTCAACCTGTCAAATGCCATTTGAGCTTGATCATCCCAAACGAAAGCATCCTTGGCTAGTAGCCGCGTGAGTGGGCCTGCTACATTGGCATATCCCTTGATAAATCGTCTATAATATCCGCTGAGACCCAGGAAACTCTTCAGCTGCGTGGTATTTGATGGGCAGGGCCATTGTTGAATAGCTTGAATCTTCTTATGGTCCACCTCTACCCCCATACTTGACACAATATGTCCCAAGTATTCTATCCTTTTTTGCCCAAATGAGCATTTCGACATCTTTGCAAATAACTGATGCTTCTGCAATTGACCCAGTACTAAGCCCACATGTTCTAAGTGCGATTCCCAAGTGCTACTGTATATCAAAATATCATCAAAAAATATTAACACGAAACGCCGAAGGAACTCTCTGAAAACAGAATTCATCAATGACTGAAATGTAGCCGGTGCATTAGAGAGACCAAATGGCATGACAAGCCATTCATACAGACCCATATGCGTTCGGAAGGCAGTCTTTTCTCTGTCACCTTCACGCATCAGAATCTGATGGTAGCCCGAACGGAGGTCCAGTTTCGAGTAAAACACTGACCCATGTAATTCATCTAATAATTCATCCACTGTAGGCATTGGAAAAGCATCTTTAATCGTGACTATATTAAGAGCTCTATAGTCCACACAAAAACGCCATGTTCCGTCCTTCTTCTTGACTAATATCACCGGTGCTGAAAACGGGCTTGAACTGTGTTGAATTAACCCCTGCTTCAATAACTCTGCCACAATCTTCTCGATTTCGGACTTTTGACTCACTGGGTAGCGGTATGGTCTGACTTTTACCGCACCCACTCCCGCCTGAAGCTCTATCCTGTGTTCATGCCCTCTTTCCGGTGGTAGCCCATGGGGTTTCAAAAAAAAACAGAGCTATATTGTTGTATCAACTTCCCCAACTCTTCCGGTGTATCTTCGGGCATTAACAATTCTTCTGGTTCTCTTTCAATTCTTTCAATGGTATATAATTCAGCTATGGCTTCGACTTGTTGTATTCTCACCAAGTGGTGGAACTGAGCATGTAATAAGGGAGGTCCCCTGAACCCCTTTAATGTGATAAATTCACCGTCATCTTGTAGTATCTTAATCATCGAGGAGCTATAGTCAGCTACGTGTGGGCCCAATGTCTCCAACCAATCAGCTCCTATTACCGCATCAACCCCTGCTACCGGTAAGATATGCATGGTAATGCGTAGTACGTGGCCATTGATATTAATCGGTAGATTCGAAACGATTTCATCACTCTTTAAAATCTTCCCTAACCCCCCAAGTACCCTCAACTCTGGGGCAGGCTCCACAGGAAGTTGTAGATGCTTTACGATTCGAGGATGCAAGAAGTTATCTGAACTCCCGCCATCAAGCAATATTTGTATTTCAGTTCCCTGAATTTTTCCTGTGAAACGAATGGTAGCAGGGCCCTGTGTGCCCCTCAATGCATGCACAGATAGATGATGAAGAGTGGCCCCTACATCTGGATCTTCATTTATAGAACCCGATTCAGCATTCTCTTCCTCGATTCCTTCTTCTCCCATTAACATCATGAGTTGTTTGTTGGGGCACTTATGGCTTGGGGTGAATTTAGCATCGCACGTATAGCACAGGCCCTTATCTCTTCGTACTTGCATCTCTGCCGCCGTCATTTTCTTAATCTGTGGGATGGTTGGAGTCGGTAACAATGGCGGTAAGTTCGCCTTCCCTCCAGTGTTAGAGCTACCAGCTATTGACCCTCCCCCTGTAATCGTAGTAGTCGACTTCACTTGATTGCTCACACTCCTAGCAGAATAGTTGTATGGAGCTCGTGTCCTTGTAGTATTGATCCCATAATTAGTGGTTTCTGAAAAAAGTCGTGACAGGGCCATCGCTTTTAGAACGGTCATTGGGCGTTGCACCATTACGTCACGTCGCAACTCTGGTTTCAGCCCCCCCAAATAGCAGTCTAATAATGCAGACTCTGGGACATCTTCTGTTCGGTTCGCCAGGGATAAAAATTTACTGTTATATTCCTCTAACGAGCCGTGTTGTACCAGCTTAAAAAGCTGAGCGCGGGCGCAGTCAAACTGCGTGGGGCCATATTGTTCTTCCACCGCTTGTGCAAGGGCCTGCCAATGGGGCACTCGGTTGGTTCTCTCCA